GCACGGTTACCGGGATGCCGATAACTTTCTGCAACACCTACGCGTTGGTGATCATGTGCAAACTTCATATATAGGCGTCCTGCTGGCAGGATGGCTCCGAAGATCAATTAAAGTTCTTCGTGGAAAAGTGTGCGCTACAGTGTCAAGCAGTGCGGCGGTTCGGTTAGAGAATAAGTGGCCGTGAGCACACATCTTGCATGCTAGAGGGCAACCCGTCTGACACGTGGGGTGTGTAGTTTTCACCGAACTTCTATAGTTTAGTCGAACACTAACAATGACAAGAGTCGCCGCTCAGACAAAGATCCCCCGTATAGCCTTAACAGACTGTAGGGGCAAGTGCTGTTAGCGAGACACACGCACATACATGTGTACATTAACCGTGCCAACCCTACTTTGGATTCATAAGCAAAAAAAACCCAAAACATACCCTATAGAACAGTTACATTGTATGAAAATAAAGGATGGGTTTAATCAAGAGTCATGTCTCCTACAGACCTATGGCAATCACACGCGAGACTGCTGTGGAATGTAGGAGAAGCAAAATAAAAACAGTGACCTCTCATCGTGCAGAGATTGATGGTAGGTAGAGAGAGAGCGTGTGTGTTTTTTGGAGTTGAGCGAGATTGTTCTCCACCCCCCCTCTCTTCTCTCTGCTTCCGTGGCTCTCTGTGTCTTTCCAAAAGGAGCAGCCATCCGTTGAGAGGTGCTGCTGTGCGTGAGTGCCGGCTCCCCGCTGGCTTCAGTGAACCCGGGCTGGGAAGCGGCAAGCGGGCAGGGAGGAAGGGAGGGGAGAGTCACAGAGAGAGAGAGCGGGCAAGGTTGGAGTGCACAGAGGCGAAACTGATGAGAGGGTGGGGGGGGGCATGTGGGGGCCCCGTTTGTCGTTCGTCGCCAATAACGCTCCGCATGGCACCGCTAACACCTCGCCCCATCTGGGGTCCCGCAAAACGCAACAGCACCGTGTGCGCGAGGCAGTGAGGAGACGCACGGGCGATCTCGTGCCCCGAACGAAGCAAGCCGCCACTCGTGTGCATTAATAGGAATAATACGAATAGTGACGCTGAGGACGAGAAGGCTGTGCCGTGGAGGATGTGCAGCAGAAAAGGCAGTCGTAGCAGCAGTCTTAGCTCCTGCTGAACTTATCACCTACACACCCTAACCTTAAACCCTACCGCCTTAACCACAAACCCTAACCCTGCCCATAACCCCAAAACGCTAACTCCTTAACCCTAACACCTAAACTATTACCACTAACCCTAATCTTCTTGGTTCTTTCGGTGAAGTCACGTAGAAGGGTAATAATAAAATAATACAAATAAAACATAATAAAATAATTCTCACGACGTTTCGGCCACAACGCAAGCACCCGTCCTCAGGTGAAGAACAGGTCTGTCGGGAAGACAGCGTCTGAATGAAACACCCCAGGCTTGGAGCGTATATTCAAGCTAACCCTAATCGTCTAACTCGTAACCATACACGACTAAAAAAGTGGCACCTCACTCACCCCCCAAATGTTTCATGAACTGAAACCAAAGAAAAGTTTGTTATTGAATGAAAACGTGTTCTCTGCTTGGATACAAATATGCGGGTCCAGTCGTGACTTCCTGATAACGTGCGCTATCACCACTGCGACGATTCTGCGTGGAAGGCGCTCGAGAGACTCACTGTTTTGTGAAGTGCATCATCATTGCGAGGCGGCGAGGAGATGGCATGACAGTGGTGAATTCTTGAATCTGTCTGTGCGTAAAGGTGGTGGGATTTCTTGTGGGAATGCTCAAAATGGGAATTGAACAAACACCGCACCCCTCCCTGACAAAACCTTGAGACTCAATAGGGACAGTTTTGGCAAATGTTGTATATAGGCACGAAATAATGTTTGTAAAGTATTATAAAATGTTCCCTATTTTTGAATGCATTATGTTTTTTTTACCATCTGACAATATTTATGTATGTTGAACTTCTTTCGCACCGTACGTCCCCAAGCGTGCTCATCGGATTGCGGGGGGGGGGGGGGCAACAAACTAAACACAAAAGCACTTTTAAATTTCGATTTAAAGCTTTCGTGACTGCAGGGATTCATCTTCTTGGTTCTTTCGGTAAAGTCACGTAGAAGGGAAGTAATAAAATAATAAAATATTCTATTATGTTTTCTTTTTATTATTTTATTACTTCCCTTCTACGTGACTTTACCGACAGAACCAAGAAGACAAAAGCACTTCTATAGAAATCGATGGTGAGCCAAAAGCCGATGCGAGGATGAGCAGAGCTCACACGATGGAGTGTGCTCCTTGACGAGAGATGGATCCACTGCTGTTTTGAAGATCCCTCCGAGACGTATGGTAAAGGAACCCCCATGAACGGCACGACGTGTTTGCATGTCAGTTTCATTTACGGCCCTTTGTCAATCCACTGCTGGATAAAGGTCCCCCCCCCCGCCCCCCGCCCCCCTGCCCACACCCCGTGTCGGTCGTGAGGGTTGCTTGACCACGCTTCACCAATGCTCGTCAATGCGGGTTGGTGAGGTGGGGAGAGCAGCAGTCCAGGACCAGTTCAAATGTCCCGTATTCGAACTCGGGGTCCATAGGTGCGGCTTTTGGCTCACCGTCAGACAAAGACGGTCATTGCAGTGTGCACTTTCAAATTGCATTTCTGCGGCCGTCTGGAACGCCTTTCCTTCCGATTTAAAAAGCCACAGGAGCGATGCACTTTTAAACCTAGATTTAAAGCAAATTTCTTTAGAACGGCTTTTTGCGTTCAGTTTGTCGTCCTTCCAAACCATTGTGCGTTTTATTTTAATTCGACGTATAGCGCATATCGCCAGGTGTAGCATGGATGACAAAGGATGAGAGTGGTGACGTAGTGGAGGCCAACGAGAAGATATGAATCCCGTGGAGATGGGGCAACCGCGTGATTAAGTGAATGTTCAGAAGTGATCTGGATCGTAGCATCGCATGGCCATGAGGAATGGCAAACGGCATGGGGGAGGCTTTTATCCAGCAGTGGATGGGCCATGGGCGATGCCGGTTAAATGCGTACAGAAAAGAGATCGTCGAACAATAAGCTACGAAAAGGACACGGATACCACCATTATTATAGCCATGATACAGCCGACTATCGTTTATGTTCCATTGCTCAGACTTTGAAACGAATAACAACAATAGAAATTCCCCGCTGCCTATTACTAGTAACTACCACAACATTGGCGTAGTCATAAACTGGAAGCTTACACTGCTTCGTCTCTTCTGGCATCTGGCCAGCGCGCCTAAGATGAATGTGCGTCACACAATTAAAGGCTAGAATTCAGCATGTTCATGACAATACTGTGGGAAGGTGCAGCTATGGGGTTGTATGACGACATGGGGGTACGAGAACGGCCTGCTTTTTAACGCCCGTACAATGCACGTAAATGCCAAAAAACGCTCATCAAGAGCCAGCCCAGAGTAGCCGATGGGAGCCCAAATGGCAACAGCAGCAGCACAATGGACCTTTAGGTAATCCCAGTGTCAATAGACACGGGCAGCTGAGAACTCACACCAGGCAAGGTCTGTACACTGCTGTACATGGACACCGTATTGTTCTTCCATACAATGGTCGGAAGAAAAAAATGCGTATCGCCTTCGGGGATGCAAATCTAAACACGTACAGTGGTTTTGTAAATACACGGTGTTTGGAAGTTATTCCGCGTGACGTGTGGTCAACGTTTGCTCGACTATTAATCCATAAATTACAAATCCGCGTCGGCGGTAATTACGCGCACACGCGCGCAAAGTTATTGCATAAACAAACTTGTGTAAATATTGTGAGAAGGGCGCATCTGCATCTGCCGCAGTTCCATGATATTTATACAAAACATACGCGACGAATGCCGTCCATGCGATTGACCAAATGGTGGATCGACGTATGGAGCACGTGCATTCTGTAAAAGTGGCCTTATCAATGAAGCGGAACAACTAACGGCCACAACGAACTATTGAAGAGTTATCAAAAAAAGTAACAAAAACTTAAAATAATAAGGATGAAAAGTAAAGTATTCTGTTAAACAGCCAGAGCTGGGTGGAACAGTGACTGCTCGCCGCCTTTATAAGCGCATAAAGGCTCATTGTGCGCTCCTTTAGATCACTAGACGACACCCCCCCCCCCTTCCAAAAGACATACCCCGTGGAGATCGCCTCTCGGGCCAGTCTGCACACAAATACAAAGATCCCCCGTAAAGGCTTAACAGACTGTTGGGGCAAGTGCTGTCAGCGAGCACCCTACGAATACCGCCACGGCGCACGAGGGGGTGGGTGGCCAGCACCACGCCCGGCCTCCTTTGTCTCCCTAAAGGCGACGTTAAGAAGCCGCGCCAGGTACTCCTTTGAGGCTGAGTCGACCTCGGGGATAAGTCCATGGCCGCTTCAGATAATCGTCTCCGGTGTTGGCCGTGAGATGGAAACGAATTCGGGTTGCCGGGTTCGTGGGTCACCGCTCCGCGCACGCGTGCGCTCTAACTCCCACGCACTCAAGCGCAGAGGCAAGTTCCGTTACTGTTAGCGAGCACCGAAGCCAACAACCTCCACGCTCGCGCGCGCAACGCTCTCCCCGCATGTTGTCTTTGTAGATCCGCACAGTTGGCTGTCGTTCGCACACCGTTTTACCAGGCAGCGTTCACTCCATGTCACGGCCGAGTCTACCTAGGCGGTGGCCACGCGCGAGTTGTCACATCACATGTTCCACGTTCGCGCGGAGAGGAACGATGATGGAGCGGTTGGAAATCGCACGCACACGCACACCTACGCCGCGTTGTAAAACTTATCGCGTGTTTTTCTTTTTCCGCGATGGGGGGGGGAGGAGGAGGTGACGAGGGCGATGGGGGTCGAGGCGGAGACGTTTTTCGTGGTGGAGGGGGATGAGGTGGTGGAGGGGGTTTGGGGTGGGTGGGGCATTTTCAGAAGAGCGTAAAGTATCAGCAAAAGAGAAGACAAGGAAGGATGGAAGCGAGCGAGGGTGGGTGGGTGGGAGTGGGGTTGGGTTGGGTGATGGTGATGACGGGGGTTGGTTCTCTGGCTCGGTGTGCGCCCAGGGGGAGTGGGGAGGGTCGTTGTGGTGGTGGTGCAGGCGGAGCACGGGGAGGAGAACTGCACTGGGCTGGGGGGCTGCGAGAGGGAATAGAAAAAGGGACTGAAATCGAAATTGGTCACGCCGAGGCGGCTTTGTGCGCGCATTGATCGCCGCCTATTAGCGACCGAGAAGCCCGCGCGCCATTCGTCGGGTGTGAATGCAGCCCCGACCTTTTAAAGCGGCCGCCGCTTCCAGCGCGAACGTTGTGGCCACAGAAGAAGCACTATTTATTGTTGCTGGAGGGAGGAGGGGGAGGGCAGAAAAGCAGGGTGGGGACAGCCCCGTGGGCTTGGAGGAGGAGAGGGAGGGAGACGCGCAATCGAACCCATCATGCGCGCTAACTTTTACGCACTGCCTGCGCGCACTTTTGTCTACTCAGTGCTGAACGCTAACTAGTTGAGAGCGCTGGTCAGACACTGCGGCACACGCGCGCGCACGCGGGGTACACGCGAGGCGACCCCAGTTGAGAGAGGCGCGCGCGCGTTCACGCCCAGAGAGGAGGAGGAGGACGACGACGACACGCGGCACGGAAAATGCTGCGCTCCCTCGGTGGCTCCTGGGCGCCCGTGCCTCTGGCCCTGCTCCTCATCCACTGCGCGCGACTCAACGCGGCGTTGTCCGACACCGAGCGGACCTCTTTGGGCAGAGAGCAAGAGCAGCAGCAACAACAACCACAGCACCAACACCTGCAGCAGCAACAGCAGCAGCAGCAGTTCCAACAGGGCAGGTGTCAGCCAATCGTGATCCCCATGTGCCTGGGCATCGGCTACAACACCACGCGGCTGCCCAACTCGCTGGGACACGAGGAGCAGCAGGAGGCCGCCATCAAGCTGCACGAGTTCGCGCCGCTCGTCGAATACGGCTGCCACGTGCACCTGCGCTTCTTCCTGTGCTCCGTGTACGCGCCCATGTGCAGCGAGCAGGTGTCGCAGCCCATCCCGGCGTGCCGGCCCATGTGCCGCGCCGTGCGCCAGCGGTGCGCGCCCGTGCTCGAGCAGTTCGGCTTCGGTTGGCCTGACGCGCTCGACTGCGCCCGCCTGCCGACGCGCCACGACCCCAGCGCCTTGTGCATGGAGGCGCCGGCGGCGGACGACGATGAAGGAGGCGGAGGAGGAACCGGTGGCGGAGGTGGAGGAACCGGTGCGGCAGGTGGAGGTGAACCTCATGACCGACTCCCACTGGCGCCGCTGGCACCTCCGCTCCACGGCGGCGGCGGCAGCAGCGGCCACCCGCAGCACACGGGGTCTCCGAACCAGGGCGCGCAGCCACCCGGCGGCAGGGCGTCCGTGCCGTCTTCGTACAAGCCCACCATCAACGTGGGTCGCGGCGACGACAGCAAGGGCGTCCAGCCTCACCCGCCTCCCCCCAGGAGCGGGTCCCCGACGTCGTGCGAGAACCCCAGCAAGTTCCACTACGTGGAGCGCAGCGAGTCGTGCGCGCCGCGCTGCGGGCCCGACATGGACGTGTACTGGAGCGGCGCCGACAAGCGGTTCGCGTCGGTGTGGCTCGCCGTGTGGTCCGCGCTCTGCTTCGCCTCCAGCGCCTTCACCGTGCTCACCTTCGCCATCGACTCGTCGCGCTTCCAGTACCCGGAGAGGCCCATCATCTTCCTCTCCATGTGCTACTGCCTGCACTCGGTGGCATTCCTCGTGCGCCTGTTCGCCGGCGCGTCCAGCATCGCGTGCGACCAAGACAGCGGCAGTGCGTACATCATCCAGGCGGGCCTCGAGAGCACCGGCTGCACCCTGGTCTTCTTGCTGCTCTACTACTTCGGCATGGCTGCGTCCGTCTGGTGGGTCGTGCTCACTTTCACGTGGTTCCTGGCTGCCGGCATCAAGTGGGGGCACGAGGCGATCGAGGCCAAGAGCAGCTACTTCCACCTGGCCGCCTGGGCGCTTCCAGCCGTGCAGACCATCGTGATCCTGGGCCTACGCAAGGTCCGCTCTCCTTAATTCCATCCTCTGGTTTTAGTGAAGGTTTCTCCTGCGTGATGTTTCGTGGGATTTGCTGATGTTATGTGTCCCTCCCCTGTCATGGCAGTTTGCTTCTTGTCAAATGTTTTATGCTGTCGTATACTGGGTGTCAAGATCAATGGTGAAAAATAAGTCATTATTTATATATTTGATGATTGGCCTATGAAGTATCAAATCCAACTACAGTCCATGTTTTGCCCATTGAGGTCGTGTGCATTATCTATCTGATGATATTCATTACTTGGGCGTGCACTCTACGTATATATACTGTATTTTAATACTTTTACAGTATTTTTTTGTGTGTCCCAGCTCTTCCTTGAACAAGATATTCGTTCTCACTGGGCTGTCATTTGGTTATAGGGTTGTCACTTTATAATGGAGTTAAAATAGGTATTATTTGTGTGACATTTATAGAAGCTTGAAGATCATGTACAACGTTTTAGTTTCAGAATGTCACTTTAACTTCCCATCCATGCCTAAAATCCTCAGAGTAGAGACCTCACTCATCTGCTGTGCTCTCATCTTTACCACACACACACGCACACACGTGTCTGGTGATGCGTGTCTACAACTCGTCGACATGTCTAACACCAAACCCATGTTGCCACCGTGTCCGCATCAAGGTTGCAGGCGAGGAGCTCACGGGCCTGTGCTACGTGGGCGGACTCATGAGCCCCAACGCGCTGGCGGGGTTCGTGATCGTCCCTCTCACCTGCTACCTCATCCTGGGCACGTCGTTCATCCTGGCCGGGCTCGTCGCACTCTTCGACATCCGCCGCGTGATGCGCACGGGCGGCACGGACACGGAGAAACTCGAGAAACTCATGGTGAAGATCGGCGTCTTCTCCGTGCTCTATTCCGTGCCGGCCACCTGCGTCATCGCCTGCTACTTCTACGAGTGGTACAACGCTGATAGCTGGAGGACCCTTGCAGTGGCCTCCAAGTGCAGGGCTGCGCAGGGCAACCAGACGCCCGACTGCACGGCCGTCCAGTCCATCCCCTCCATCGAGGTGTACCTGCTCAAGGTGTTCATGTCACTGGTGGTGGGCATCATCAGCGGCATGTGGATCTGGAGCTCTAAGACGCTGCAGTCGTGGCAGATGCTCTGGAACAAGAAGTTGTCTCGGCAGACCGGGCGCAAGGGGGGAGTGCATTACAAGTCTCCCTCGCTTGCCGTACATGCGCCTCCCGGCCACCCAGAGACCATAGCCGAACAGCCGGCATTTGTCTAACAAGCTCGTGTCGTCTCGTGTCTGCCACTTCTGTAGATTGCTATACAATATACATAAATATATATATATGCGTGTGCCCTACTGCATGTAAAATTGACACTGAAACCACTACACTACAGGGCATATAAACCTACCAGCGGACCATACGTGCTGCTGATACGTGCAAACGCTTTGAAGTGACAAGCGTGTGTGCATGCATTTCTGGAAGACTGATGCAGAAATTTGCAGCCGTGCACTGCGTGCGATGGGTGCAAAAAACAACGCACAGTTGTGCATATTGATTGTGCAAATTGAGATTTTGTTTTCCTTTGGTCCGATTGTATTGGGAATGTCACGTGCTCAAGATGCCCCCCTCGGTTGGGCTCTTCTCTTATGCACCAGCACAGGCGTCTCGATGAAAACAGGGCTCTAAACGGTGTCCACCGAATGCCACGTCATTTTTTTACAAATGTATACAAACAAGTGTTACGTGTTACGATTATGTTTTTTTAAGGTGTCCAGAATGATAAATGTGTGGGGGGTGGGGGCGGAACGACACAACAAATTAACACGTGGCGTATTGTGATGCCCCCCAAATGTAAGTACTAACGATACAGAGTCATAGAATTTATTTAGAGATCGTTATATTGGAAAATATTATTACAAGTGCGAGCCCATGTGTAGCTTAAACATCCGATTACAAATGTGGTACAGGCAATACAATTATCAAAATGTTTTGCCTGTACCACATTTATATAGTGCGTCTGTATAATATTCTGAGCCTTTTACAAAGAAAAAAACAGCCTAAATTGTATTCATGCGTGTATTTAAAAGTAATGCAATACCACAACCCGAAGGTAACAGACACATCTGGTTTGTACTGAACTCCAGAATCTGGTAGACATTTAGTGAATGAGTAAATAATCTCCTGTTTTGGAAACTACACACAGTGTATCTTGCAGGGGCATTTAAAATGTGTACCATATTTACAGTTTCGACTTGACCTCGAGGCTTAAAGGTACAATTTATCATCAGGAACGTGGAGGTAAATTATAGATTCCAGATTGTGCCTTTTCGAGACCAGATATTTTGTATTGCTTTTGTCCAAACAGTTTGGACAAGATTTAAGAGACTTTTTTTCGTAAGTTTTTACACTTTCTTACGATGAGTGGGTTGGACAAACCTATTACGTTCGCAAAAAAGGTTACACGTTTAGAATTGCGGACGACGTTTTTTTACAGACACAGTGTTTTCTTAACAATTGTCATGAAGTGCGCCATAATACAAGGCAGCGATGTGGTATTAGCCTTAAACTTTTGTATGTTTTTTGAACTTCGTTCGCACCGTGTGTAGCCAACAGTGCTAAATGGAGGTGCGTGCGCTGACATTTGCTGTAGCAACATAATTGCGGCAATGGGTGAATCGGAAATCTTGCTTTGCGGGATGGTTACGAGACCATACAAACATCACCAATGCCGTTTAAATGCGCCGAGTCATTGCAAATAACCCAACGTGGCCATTCTTTGCAAACCACAGCCGAACTTTGTCGTAAAAGATAAAACAAGATAATTATGTTTTCTCGTTTGGCCACCTACCACTCAGAATGCCTCACTGGAAAGGAGCGCATTAGCAACTAACACTCGTATAAGGAAGCAATTTAATATTAAACGAATGCTCTGAACGTGCATCAAGGTCAGACAAACTAATATTCTAACAAGTAAAAGTGAATAACCCATCGACTAATATATGCAGGCTAAAAACAAAAATATATAACTTAACACGTATAACCGTGCACCAGAAATGGTGCCCAGACTTTTCAGAGTTTAGCCTGGATAGTGTTTGGGTGGACGAACATGCAAAAACAGGTGTCATAGGCTGTGGTGGGCAGCAGAGGGTTGTGCAGTACTCTGTACTGTACTGTACTACCACGTCTATGCTCCCCGACTTCTCTAACCCACACTCACGAGAGTGGTAAAGTTCTGTCAAATCTGTCTCATGGCTTGGGAAGGCCCTCACGAAGTAGTGGATTGACAAGGGGGCCGTACGCGTACATCTTGCCAAGCATCATCGTGCCTTGTTATGCATAACTGTTTGGTATGTAAACGATGTGTTATTTGATGGAGATCGTGCAACTCAGTTCGTGTACAAGTGTACACGGCCCATGGTGGGCAACGATTCAGGGTGGTGATGATGATGATGATCAAGGTGTTGTGAACCCAAAGACCTTTTGTCTCTTGATGTTGAAAGGCGGGCAGCTCCAACACAGCTGCACATCAATGGGATTGCTAATGTCCTCTGCAGTACTGTGATGTTAAAAGGATCATTTATAGCACGACTTCTCACTGCCAAATCGGATCGTAACAAAACAATGGCAGTGTAAAATAGATGAAGGTGCAGGCTTGCAATTTCTTATGCATTACCACTGCTTATGGAAGGTGCCACACGAGAGGGAGCTCTTGTCAGCTACTCTGGGGTAGCCTACTCTTCTACGCTGGCCAGATGTCAATAACAGATGTGTGAGTACTCCACTTTGAATTGGAAGACACGTCACCGCAATTTAGTGGTCAACGTCCTCCCCTTTGTGAGTGGCTCTGCAGGTTGTGACTGATTAATTTCACATTCACGTTCTCTGTCGCTGGATATAGGTGATGCGTGAGACGCTGATCATCTGTGAATTCTAACACGGCAGTAAACACTCCAGCTATCCAGGTTTTAATTTGCCAATCAAGTGTGCAAGTACAGTACGGTGATTAAGCAGGCAACGTGTTCTGGGTATAGGAGCCGATTCAGGCGTTAGCATGAACTGATTTCCTGTCGAATTAACGGATGAAAATTGGCAAAACTGACAGAAAATCGTGGTAATTTGCCATTTTGTTTTTCTCCTACCAATTATTCGCAGGAAATTACTCCTCGCGACTCATGTCACAGAAGTTGGAGAATGTAATCTTAATTGACTGCAAACGTGGCACTGAGATGTGCGTGGATGAGGCAGCTCCTCTGCCTTGGCTTCCTCTCTTGCTTTGAACGCTCGGCACGTGAAGACCACAGAGTCAACAATCAGCTCTTTTTACATCTTACTCATCTCTCATTTTAAAACCCTCACACGCTGACTGCAACTGGTTAAAGCTATGACGAGATCACAGGTGTTTTTTTCATAGACATTACAGAAGGCGTGGGTGGTGCGCAAGTCATGTCCTGTATGTGCCGGTGTGCATTTTGCGCGTCTGTCGACAGTCACCGTTCTCTCCTGCACTCACAGCAGCGGATGCCTTTAGAAATTGTTTCCTTGACTCAACTCCTGTTACAGCAAATGACATCTTCTGTTGTTGCAATGCTGTGAGTCTTTCAGCTTTGACTCACGGCTTATTGGCAGTAGAATGTGTGCCCATGGTAATGATTCGTCATCATCATCGTCGTCGTCATCATCAAAACTATTGAGGTTTCATTGCATTTTTGTTGCTAGCATAAACATGTTTCTGATCCATATGTGAAATCAAAAACCGATCTGTAACAGAAGAATCGGTGCAAGCCGGAAAGTCATCAGTTTCAAACAATTATTACTGCCTTTTGCTACGGAGTGAGTACTCTTGTTAAAAAAAAAAACACTTTTTAAATTATATTTTTAAACAAATTACTGGTATCACATCCTTATTTCGCATGTTTTATTTCAAATGAGATTTTTTTTTAAAAGTCACCTTGGTAGTCCAGACTGGTGGCACACCCTGCACCTTTGGCGCATAGCAAGTCACGGTTGTCAAAAAATGTAGCCCACTTCGAATGTACAGCTTGAAACTTACGCCAGCAAAAAGCATCCATTCATCTCATATTGCTGAGGTCTCCAAAAAAATTCGCCGCAGAAAAACTGTCGGCCGTACATCGAGACTTGTTCAGTTTCTCGCTCTCTATTTGCATGTCAGATTGTGGCCTCAGTTCGTTGACGATTGTGACATGCCACGTCAAAGGTACTAAGTGGTGCAGCACCACATACCACAGACGACGACGAGTATCGTCTCCGCAGGCAACATTTTAATGCTCCCACTTATTAAGTCACTCAACACCACTTACGACAGGGTGTGCGCACATTCGGCCCATTTTTTAGGTTTTATAACTGAAATTTGTAACCCTCGTGGTTTGCCCAAATATACCGTGTTCTTCTATACGTTGAGATTGGGGACACGATGCTTTGATGTTTGATGTACGCTTTGAAAACATGCAATTATATGATCAGGATTGCTGCAGTCGGCACCACTTAAGACACAGAGTGGAGAAAGTCTACAACTGGAGCACTGTTATTAGTACGCTGTTGTAGCCTTGTCATTTGTAAAAAAAAACATAGTGCCACATGATCTAAGATATTCAGAAATGTAATTGACGGCGCATATGCTTGTTTTGATATGAAACAGTGACATTACTATGGCATTGCATTTGAAAACATTTTCCATTCGGTCATATGATATCTTGCAGGGAAAATACCTTTGTTGAAACAATGGTCAAGTTTCTTTAATCCACCCCTTGCCTCTGTCCACCCAGCAGAATACATGATTACACCACAGTTAGTCGATGGCAGGTCATGTGTATTGGGTTGATGTGTGGGTTCTCGCACTGCTTCCAATGACGTCTAGGCAGCGTGGAAGAGTAGGCCAAATACGATCTAGAGGGGCTCTCTAATTGAGGAGCTTCCACTAACAGTGGCGTGGGCATGACATTGCAGGGCTGCAATGTTACCTCTTATTTTGTTAAAAAAGGGCTATTGACATCCATTACTATTTTCAGTACACACATGGTGTTTAAGTATATTTGCAAAAAAGCAAAAACTCCGTAAAATGGGATTGCATTGCACGATAACACATCAATTGAATTTCGTGTAATTCAGCAAGGCCTTCCAGTAACGATCGTTTGTTCCAGTGGAAATTTCATAAGCGTTTTCTTCTATGAGAGTGGATACATAAAGACAGGCACTGCCTGTGGATATGGGTGCACATTAAATTACTTTGTATCCAGGACATTGAAGGGCACACACGCACACACGCACACCACCTGAAGGATCGACACTCATAACATGTTAAACATGGCATCTCTAAAAAGGCAACTGCTGGTAGCTGCTTTTGATGTTCTCATACATTACGCTCATCTCAACACTAACTTTAACTTAGTGTACAAATGTTGTGTGGAGGGGGGGGGGGTTGTCCTTAAAGAGCTACAAATATCGATAAAGAGATCTATTTTGTGTTACGCCAAGAAATGGCCAAAGTATGTTGATTTCATCAGAACAGGGATAGTATTGTGTTTGTAAGGTTCAGATTAAGATTGCAGAATGGGCTGCTGAATAAGTAGATTGCACATTGACGTCACATTACAGTCAGTGGTATCACTTGGGCATATCGCGCGAGACTGACAAACGTTGATGCCCCAAAACTCTTTGGTCTCAGAAACATGTGGTCGCAAGCTTGGTCTGTCCGCTGCTTGACAATGTGCGCGTCCACATTAATTAAAGGTGAGCTGAAATATACGATTTTCATTCAGCAGAAGCGGCAAATGTGAGCCGCATTCAGATCACAGTTCAAACACACAGCCTTTGTATATTAAACGCATTCTGCTCACACAGATGAAACGCATATGCTTTTTATTCAGTTCTAACATGTTTTAATTTTACTTGGAAATTTTGCTCAAGTGCATCATCCGATGATGGCTGGTCTGTAAAAGGTAGTCTGTGCGCTCACGGGCCATTTTTTGCCTGGAGAAACTGGCATGTTGAGTACGATGCCTATAGAATAGATGGCCCTGCGGTCACGTGATGCCATGGGCTTTGTTTTGAGCCACTCGTATTTATTGAGGACATTAAGGTCCTGCAACAGTGATGCCTTGCAGTGAACACGTGGCAGGTTAGTAGCCAATGCCGAGCTTGTTCCATTTATTAATAACAAGTGTGTACATTATTTTTAAAATATTTAACAACAAATGGTGTTATCGCTTCGGCAACCGTGCACGAATCAACAAACAATACAAACTCCAACGCAGCCGTCAATCACACTGCACCGAAGAGGAAACAACATTTAACAACATATAATAAGTGACATTTCGCGCAATGGCCCTTCATCTATTGTGAATATTTTCCCCCTTTTGGGAAATGTTATGGATATATTATCCCCACATTTGTTGCTGGTGGGGTTTGTTTTTGTTTAACCGCTCTAGCTTAGAAAGTGCATAAAGTACTCGAGGTTGAGCTGACTCAGTCCCGAGTTCTCTCCGTAAGCTGGTGTTATTATAGAGCCATGTATAATAGCTCATTTAACACGTTTTTTCCTCCTTTAAAAACTAAAAATGTTTTATGTTGGTATTAAAATACTGTATTGTACATTGCTTCAAATGCCTTGTTGGATAAATTGCTATATTTATAATAAAATCATATTTTCAAAGTAAACTGTTCTGAAGCGCCTTAACATCATTCCGATCCAGTGCTGTTTGAAACATCTTTGGTCGCGCTATGTTTAGATCTCTACCTCATTTGCTTATTTTTTTGCTCAAAAAGCAGCGCTGCTAAGCCATGTAGAACCGTGTTTTTGTTTTAAACGCAATTGGTGCCCCACCACTTGGTAAAACAGCATTCCAATACAGCGCTTTGAAGTCACGCCACGCTGTGTTTAGTTTTACGCATATTTTGCGTATCTCGCGAGTTCACAGTAGAAACCAGCGCTGCGAATGCACGTCTACACCTGTTTATATGACGATTAGAGAGACAGGCAGCCGCGGGTTACCTCACGGACTGTGATGAATGGTGGCGTTATTGTAGTGGTGGGTGCAAGGTGTCAGTCGAGTCAGCAGAGGCTCAATGGCCTCGTATTTTTTTGGAGAGAAGAAAAGAAAAAAACAGTTGAGCAACACATACTTGCATTTGCTGAGTAACATCTTCTATTTTCGTGTGATCTCATCGTCTTCGACCACTACATCTCCATTTTGATAAATATATCTCACTACGTGTATCCATGCAGAGGCTCAATAGCCTCGTATTTTTTGGGAGAAAAGAAAAGAAAAAAACAGTTGAGCAACACATAGTTGCATTCGCTGAGTAACATCTTCTGTTTTCGTGTGATCTCATCGTCTTCGACCACTACATCTCCATTTTGATAAATGTATCTCACTACGTATATCTATGCTCTCCGCATTGCTCTTCTCTCGTCTGTGTGCATCTCCCGTTTGCATCTCTCGCATCTCACTGGCATTTATGTAGAGTGTCAGCACGTTCCGTCTATACATCTTTATCTCCTTTCTGCATCTATTCTCACTATACCTCTGTTGCCCACGTATATTCTGTCATATCTTTATACTGTGTCTTTATTCTCAACGTATATTTCTCGCGAGGAGTTTATCCATTGAAATTTCACATTCGACTCAAATGTATTTTGATGGCGATCTATGACGAAAGGACCACATTGTCCTTCTTCAGGAAATTCTGGTGTTTTTTTCATACGCACATATGATGTGTGCCATTTACACACACATTTGCACGTTGTTTGAAAATCGTTGAGTAGGTGGTCCCCCGAAAAATATTGTATGTTTAGAGCCACCAGGTTTGCCACAAATTCATGTTGCCTGTACGGTGTTGTGCAGGAGGAGTTAAACTCGTGTCATCCAGTAGGGTACTGACTCTGATGCTCTGTGACTACACTCAACACCCACATATACCTGGGTTTGATTCTAAGTCAAGATGGTTGAGACCCTAAACACATTAAATTGAACCACTCAAGTAAATCATCTGTTCTGTATCTCCAAGGAATCATACACTATATATATTTAGTCTATCAGCCTATTGACCTTTCCGACTTACATTAACCAGCAGCATTCGTTTAAACAAGAAAGGTCTGGGCTGGTTTCACCTTGTTGGGAGTCGTCAGCAGTCAGGCATGCTACAAAAATACTGATGGCTTATGAGCTATTCTTGGTTCTTTCGATAAAGTCACATAGACTTTACCGAAAGAACCAAGAATATGAATCCCTGCAGTCACCACAGCTTTAAATCGAGGCTTATAAGATGTTATTGGTAATGCCCTCTTACGAATAACGAGAAGATAGGGGGGTACTTGCCACTTTAATATAAATTGGCCACTCTTGCCTCTGTCGCCGAGCAGTAAAGCAGTAACGTAGATTCCTTTTGTCCACTGCTGGAACAGGGCCTCCGCAAGCCATGTAGTTTGTTGGAGGTTATTAAATAATAATTAAATCCAAATTTAATGCTGTACCACACTGGTCATTTCGGGTTGGTAAGAGGCAGGGAATACGGACGTTGGAGCTGCCCTCTGCTGACAGCATAACCACCCCTCCCCAAAACAGCCTACAGCACCTGCTTTGTACATGGTGGTCATCCAAACAATCGCTAGCCAGACTCAAACCTGCTTAGCTTAGCTTCGGTGATCTTACGAGATCGCGCTATGAACTGGATGCACGCGCTGTCCTACGAATCGATTGACTACTTATGCGGAAAGAGTCAAATGTGGGAAGGAGCACTTGTCGAGATACACATGCACATTGCAGAAGAGTTGACGGAATGCTTCCTGATGAGAATGAGGCTTCTTCTTGGTTCTTTCGGTAAAGTCACGTAGAAGGGAAGTAATAAAATAATAAAAATAAAACATAATAAAATAATTCTCACGACGTTTCGGCCACAACGCAAGCAGCCGTCCTCAGGTGAAGACCAGGTCTGTCGGAGAGACAGCGTCTGAATGACGCTGTTTGTGGCCGAAACGTCGTGAGAATTATTTAATTATGTTTTATTAGTTTATTACTTCCCTTCTACGTGACTTTACCGAAAGAACCAAGAAGATGAATCCCTTCAGTCACGAAAGCTTTAAATCGAAAAGAGAATGAGGCTCTCCATAATTGCAATGCACGAGCAGTGTACTGTACGTAGGTGAACGATTACATCGTCTCTCGTATGAGATAGAAATATTACTCTGTGATGTGCATTTACTACTCTGGCCAATCCACTGTTGGATGAGAGACCCACACTCTGTCACCGTATTAGACCATTGCTGTGTAGGCACTATTATTATTGTGACTAGATGGCACCTGTCTTTGATCAAGTTCGTTCAAAACTAGTCCATATGCTTGAGGCAAAATCCGCTTCAATGCATGCAATAGACATGTTTAAAATGTCCATATTGCCTCAGAATTAAACATATTTGAATGTCCCTGATGTCGTCAGATATTGGAAGCCAAGCAGGTGTGAGCCTGGTCAGTACTTGAATGAGAGACTGCCTGCGAAATCCACACTCGTTGGTGCAGGCCTGCACTGCTTGGTGGCCCAAAGATGGCAGTACAATCATGGATTATTAGACCCATCTGTGTGGAGCTTTGAGTGTTTCCCACTGTACAATCGGGTTTTTTTTCTCCAGGCACTCTGGTTTCCCTCCCACGTGAAGCCAGTCATCGCAATACGGGATCCTCCTGAAAAAGGAGTCTTGAGACTCAGTTGAATCTTTCCTGCATAAACAATGGCATTGCTGTTATCATTATCAAACAATGCATCATTGGACAGACGGACAGAAGAAGATTGTATATTCAACTGTGTACACGTGTAAAGGCTGTAACAATGCCCTAGTAAACATTTACGCACACGGTGTCCAAACAATTCTCACTCTTTTTTTACAGCAAAAGGAAACCCAATAAATCTCTTCATCGGTAGCACAGCCGACCCCCAAACAAGTGCATGGAATGCAGCAACTGTGTGGCTGAAGGATAGTGAGTGAACACGGGGGGGGGGGTTGGTGGGTGGGAGAGGCATATGCAAACACCGAGGTGGGCCTGCCTGCACGACCGAACGCTGCGCGTATGTGCGTCGCACAATCAGCCCGTAAATTGTGCCTCTCCCGTGGCTCTCTCCCAGCTGAGCAAAGTGCCTCGGCGCGTAGCGGAGTGGCGATACACGCCGGGGCAGATCTGAGTGGCCCTCGTGACGATGAAAGGCGAAGGGGAGGGGGCCTGAAGGGACTTCTGAATGACAGCTGGAGTCTCTGCGAGCCAAATGGGCAGTATTACTTTGAGCGGTTGTTCCTGTGCACGTGTGTCACCTATCTCGGAGTCGTAGTGTAAGTGGGGTTAGCGCATTGCGCTACGTACTCGGTCAACATCGGTGACGAGTCTCTGAACCGGTCCTGGGCATCTCCTCTGTCGACTCAGCCACAAATGAGTACCTGGTGTGGTGCGGAAACATCGCCACTGGGGAGACAAAGGCGGCCGGGCGTGGTGCTGGCCACCCACGGGCCATCATTAGGTGCTACTCGCGAACAGCACTTGCCCCGCCATACGGGGGGGGATCTTTGTCTTAGTGTGTCACCTTTCTGCGCCTGGTGTTTCACACAGGTGTTGACGCCACCGGTCCTGCCAACGCGACGTTTTTAAGGGATCTTGCTCGTAAGGGAGACGGCGGCGTTGTTGACATTAGCCTGTTGCGCGTTCCTGTGTCCGTAAACACTTCTTTTTTCATGCATTCCACGGAAACTAAACAAAAGCCTCCAAACTGGACAATGCCAAAACTCGCGATGGCGCCTCCAGTTTTGATGCCTTGAAATTTATTTGGTTGATATTTTTGCGCGAAATGTTATGCTGAACTTCTTTCGCAACCGTACGTAACCAACCATGCTAATCGGAGGTGAGGGAGAAAGACAACAAACTAAACAACAAAAAGCAGTTGTATAGAAATTAGTTTTCAAACGAGATTTAGAAGTGGGTAGCTCCAGTAGCTTCCTGATATCAAAAGAAAGAGGGTTCCAGACTGCTGCAGAAGCGCATCTGAAAGTGCGCGCAATGCAGTGACCGTCTTTGTTCGACGTTTAGCCAAAAGCCGCTGGCACGAGGATGATGCTCGTTCAAATATAAATTATAAACGTGAATCTCAACATGGGAAACAACCTCGGTCATGAGTGTAGAGAGTGGGGGGCTCTGGAGGGGCTCAGACCCCCCCCCCCCCACTCACACCGCCCCCCATCTAAAAAAAAGGTTGGCGCATCCTTTTCTCTGAATCAGAATCTTTATGTACACTGGGGGAATCGGAAAAGCTTTCAAGCTCTTTTTCACAGATGTTCATAAGGGGCGCCGTCAGAAAGTTACGAGCTGAGTAGTTAGGACACAGTGCACAATAGGCGAAACCAAGTCATATTGTTCAACAATGTGTTTAATGTTTGTTTAACATCTAATACGCCCCCCCCCCCCCCCCCCCACTTCTTTTAACAAAATCCCACTACAGCCTTGCATCATTGGCAGCAGACGTGAAGGTGAGCAACGCATGGAGGCTGCGCGTGCATTAAGAGCTTCATGTATGCGTGTTGCCAGGTTTGTTTGTCTACAAGTTGCAGTGTCGGTTTCTCTAATGGCCTGCTTTGCTAGATTTGTATTTTTATTTGTCTACGTGGCATAGGCAAT